CAGGCGCATGCACATAGATACAGACACAGGCGCACGCACCTAGATACAGACACAGGCGCATGCACATAGATACAGACACAGGCGCATGCACATAGATACAGACACAGGCGCATGCACATAGATACAGACACAGGCGCATGCACATAGATACAGACACACGCGCATGCACATAGATACAGACACACGCGCATGCACATAGATACAGACACACGCGCATGCACATAGATACAGACACACGCGCATGCACACACACGCACATAGATACAGACACACGCACATGCACATAGATACAGACACAGCGCATGCACATAGATACAGACACACGCGCATGCACATAGATACAGACACACGCGCATGCACATAGATACAGACACACGCGCATGCACATAGATACAGACACACGCGCATGCACATAGATACAGACACACGCGCATGCAGATCATACATGCACGCGCATGCAGATCATACATGCACGCGCATGCAGATCATACATGCACGATCATACATACACACACATACAGATCATACATGCACAGAGATACAGATACTCGCACACATACAGATACTGCCAGTGCCCGTACACGCGTTTCTGACACGGGACCCAGATGGATGGGTCAATTGTCGCACTCCAATGTTTTTCCTGTTTCAGCGACGCCGAGCTGATAGAGGAGAGGACTTGCGGACAGATAGTAGTCGCTTGCGACGGACACACGTGCTGCGACAACTACGTGATAATGCACTCCTGCTACGACGTTTTCGTTGGCCACAACACACCGCAGTGCGTGCACTTTTAATCGATCGTTAGTTGTTGAATTGTTTTTTCCCCTTGCGCGGGGATCTGTTTCTAAAACGAACTTTTGTTTTGTTTACGTTTACGTTGCTTTCCATTGTTGGAATGAGTTTGGTTTGGTTGTTGGTTGTGTTCCATGTAGGAAATAAAATCATAAACTGCATATGTGACCGTTGTTGAATTACTTGATTGTTTCACGCCACACCGCGCTACGCTTATTCGACCGCGTTCTATAATGATGTATATACCAGATATTGCTAACATGAAATCTGACCCTTAAACTAACCCTAATCCACAGCCTCTGCCATCTCAGACACATGACATCATCATCCAATATGTCCATCGTGAATACATCATCAAAGTTTATTATAAACATTTCGACACTGGCTATGACAAGATAAATGCTATAGGCGCTGAGTTGAACATCATTGCGGGTTTCGCCACTGCCGACCTACGGCAGCCGCCACTGCCGACCTACGGCAGCTACTCCCAAGCTCGATTCGCAGAGAATCCGGCAAGGTGGTCCTCTAGACGCTTGTGTTCCGGCATCTTTCTCTTCTGCGTGTGCTTGGCTTCTACTATAGACTCCCGACGCTTATTCCTTAAAATGACTTGCTCTTCATCCTGTGCGCAAGAGAGACGAGTACATTGTTTCGATTAAAACTAATTCTTATTCAAACTAAACGTCGCGTCAGACGGATGATAGGCGTGGCGGTCACATCAGTACCACCCATCATTCTCTCATGCACACACCACGATTTATACAAGTTCGGAGGATAATTCTAGATACGTACCTCGCTAATGTGGGGTGCTAGCGTTAATATCTTCATATTCTCGATTTCGTCTAGAAGTCTCTTTACAGCTCTATTCCGCATCCCTTCCGTAATAGGTCTGAACTTTCGATGTTTCCTGAAACAAGAAAACGAGGTCCTTGCATTGCAAACAGGCGGCAGGCGGTTTTACATGTCATTATAATGTACTGTTGTTACTATAGTGTACACACGGCACCATGAACATGCCGCATGTGACATGCCTCGTGACTGCTACATGTATTGTCACGTTACGGTTACGTAACAGAATTACTATTACTAATACTATTATTAGAATTTCATAATACAAATAATACTAATAGTAATACTAATAGTATATTCTAATAATAGTAATTAGTATTAGTAAATACACTAACTAACTAAATAACTAATAGTAATACACTATTAGTATTATAATACAGTAATAGATACGATAGGCCTACCCTCCCCATATTCGTCCCGGGGCGACTCCGCCACGAAGTTTCAGCAAAATTGAAGTTAGTTGCATTTGCGATAGGAAGTCGAACTTTGCACACAGCGATACTTGTGTAACCTTTACTGGCCTACACCATGTCAGTGACAACAGGTAAGTGTCAAAAACAAATGTTCTATGAGTTAATGTGCACCGACTTTCGACCTCTCGCCGACTGATGGCAGCGCCCTCTCGTTTGAGCTGGTATATTTTTTACTTCCATTCTTTACTATCTAATTTATATGATTAAAAAAATTAAATTAAAAATTTATATAACTAGAAAAATACTTAATATAATAGACTTGTTAGAATGTAACAATTATCTTCCTTATTCTTATTTAATACCGATTTACGCGCGTCGAAACATTCGTGTTGCGAATAAAAGCTTAGTGACAGTATAAAAGATGGCAGCCTGCAGGAAAGCTCTCACTCTGTGTAGACTATCATCTAGAATAGGTATATTTTGACGCAGCTAAGCCACTGTGACCGCTATATTGATTCCCACCTCATCCACTTCATTCAAGAATTAATACGAATATATTTTTATAGCATGCAATCATAGCAAGCTATTATTAGTGAACACTAGGCCTACAACTTCCACAACTTCAACTTGTCCTGACTCCTGTGTCAAAGTCACATATATATGGGGCATCATCATGATCATCATCCATGCACGATGCAGGAGTATTCTCGTAGAGCAATGTCACAGCAAGAATACGATAAGCTGCAATTTACACGGTGACGTTATAATAGTCGTTGTCGCGTACCGCCTTCGTTGTTTTTTCTTCTTAGAATCGGCGCGATTCTTTCACCGATGGCAACGGCCGACGTTTCAGCAGCTGTACAAGTTGAGAAAGATGGCGGGACCTGAAGCAGAAAAACCACGATCGGCACAGACCAACTGGTAAGCTCGCAGTATATGTTAACACAGCGGTGGCGTTCGAGGAAGTCTAATAGTAGGGCTCATAGGGTCTATGTCCCCCAGGGTACTGCCGGAACGTACCCTGGGTACGGTCCGGTATACCGGAACCACAGGCACTTGGACCGTTTCAATAATAAAATGATGGTTAATAAATACAACTTGTCAGTAGCCTACTCTTACGTTACCAGCAATAGTCTTATGTTTGATTTGACCTAAATAACTTCACTTCAAAACCCCCACCACGTTAAAATACACCGATTGGCAAACATGGCCGCCACGCGCCATTGTGTCATGCACAGATACACAGTAGATAGCGAGAAGGTAAGAAAGCCTTCACAGAAAATCCAGAACGCGCTCCACTGTTTTGTCGCAGCACTAGAGGAGAAATGACACGTCGCAAACGCCATTGATATTGCCATTGTGTGTAGATCTGAATGGGTCCACCTTGTTGCGCAATCATAGCGGTCTTTTTTTGCAACATTGGTCACCACAGACGTTTACCAGAATTATATGCATAAATGCCTGCTCGAATTGTGCCGCAGATTTCCCATTGAAGCCGATCTGTAAACGCGCGGACAACATGCCGGAATCCTAACGTGCTCTATTATATCATTTGACTCAATCGACTGATAGTTGCCCGCTGTGATCCGTCACGGTTGGAGTCGTTGGCGTCGAGGACTCGTTTTGAGAGTTGGGGCAGTGCGAATGCAACCTACCCTCCGCAGAGTGCAAATGCGCCGCCATTGCTCATTGTAACTTGCGCCGATGTACAAATCGGCTTCATGCGCAGATTTCGGCAAATTTGAGCGGATTATTATCATATAATTCTGGGTAAAGTCTGTGGTACCATGTGTTGCAAGACGTATATTTCGAAACAAGTGACATTTCAAGCTACACACAGATGGCATATTCATGGCGTTGGACGTGTATTTCTCCTGCTAGTGCTGCGACAAAAGTGGAGCGTTCTGGAATTTCTGTGAAAAAGGCTTTAGCTTTACCTTCTGCTATCTACTGTGTATCTGTGCATGCACCAATGGCGTGCGGGCTACTTGTGTTGCATCGGGTGTACTTTAACGGGTTGAAAGTGAAGTTATTAGCGTCAAATCGAAACTTAAGAACTATTGCTGGTACTGTAAGTAGTAGGCTTTACTGACAAGTTGTATTTATTAACCATTCCATTTTATTATTGAACAGGTCCAAGTGCCCTGGTACCGGAACGATACCCTGGTCACTATTAGATTAGGGTTTTATGGTTCGGTTAGGGAGATAGGGCGTAGCGACTCCGTAGACTTCTTGTTAAGTGGAGTAGACGAGGTACGGTTCGGCATATTAGATAGTACCAGGGTACGTTCTGGTATACCGGACCGTACCCAGGGTACGTTCCGGCAGTACCCTGGGGGACATAGACCCTCTCAGCAGTAGTAGGTTGGCAGAACTGTTATTGCATATATAGTCACATGTTGTTCTAGATTTTCTTTACAATTTCGTTTCCGACATGTTTCAATCGTCATATTCATCTGTCGTTCAATGACGTGTTCCAACGTTCGCTAATCGGCTAGATGTTCTGGGGTTCAGTGACATGTTCCGACGTTTGCTGCTCAGCAACATGTTCCAATGTTCAGCGACATGTTCCGACGTTGACCGACACGTTCCGATGTTCGCAGGAACCGCGACGGTGAACTGTACGCGTTCGGCGAACGTCTCGGGGAGTTGTTAGGCGCGCGCACGCTAGATCGCGCATTCACGCATGAGAGCTACGTGGCGCGCGAGGAGGAGGAGAGGAGACGCCTCGGCATTGCAAGGGAGGAGGAGGAGGGAGGCAAGTTGGACGTAGATCACAATGGGGCGTTGATCGAGCGGGGTGAGTGTACAGTTGTACTAAAGTAAAAAACCAAGTTGTAGTAAAGTAAGTAAGTAATTAAGTAAGTAAAGTAAAGTAAGTGAGTAAGTAAGTAAGTAAGTAAAGTAAAGTAAGTAAGTGAGTAAGTAAGTAAGTAAGTAAAGTAAAGTAAGTAAGTGAGTAAGTAAGTAAGTAAGTAAGTAAAGTAAAGTAAGTAAGTGAGTAAGTAAGTAAGTGAGTAAGTAAGTAAGTAAAGTAAAGTAAAGTAAGTAAGTGAGTAAGTGAGTAAGGTGCTGTACTGCCGTAGTAGGTCAGGAGAGTGGCGGAATGTAGGTTCGTATTCCACAGGAATGCACATCTCTGTGTATAGAATCAGACATTACTATCGGAGTATGATTATATCCAGCGGGGATGTTGTAGGAAGTTTCTGTACGTAGACAGATATTCCTGCCATGGCACCAGTGTTCGAAATTCATGTCGGCCCGTCGGCCCGCCGCCGACAGTTTCGATGCCGGGCCTACAGCTTCTTGATAAAACAGGCCCGCTGATCCAACAGCTATTTGATCACCGAAAATTCGAAACACTGAGAGACTGTTATCTGTAGAAATCTGTTCATGCATATTAACTTCCAGGGGTATTTATTTGAAAACTAATCCGTGATAAACCGTGACATACATGTAAAGAATGCGTTTGCCCACTGCATATTCGCGCAGCCTGATTGTAAATGAAAGAGCGATAGCCTGGAACCCTGTTCCAAGCTGCACACCACAGTGTAGTAAACTAAAGGACAAGTTGTCAGTCGAGTGCGGAATTAGCTGCGAGTAACATGAAATCGTTTCTCATTGGTGGGTGACCGTGGGTCTGGTCTGAGCAAGTGTCTCAGGTTTCGACCAATCGACAGGACTGTAAGATCGACACATGGTTAGACTGGTGTACGTATCACGGCTCCACTCGCAATGTTATGAGACGCTACTACGTTGCTACCGATGTGTACCAGACTACCAGTCTGTCTCTCTGCTGTCAAAGTTGAGAGTCGTAGTTACCAAGGAGCTACATATAACAACGATGTGGCGTTTCCTTAATTGTGAGCCCCCGGCAAAGAAGCATTTAAACTGTCATCCGACGAGAGGAAGGAAAAACAGAGGGATTATGATTATGGACAATGATAATGGCTATTAAACACAAGGAAGAACATGATATGCTGTTTTATTACTGTAATTTGCTCCAAAATTGGCGGGCCTACAGCTTTGCTGGCGGGCCTGCAGCTTTTAGGAGCTATAGGCCCTGCAGGCCTACAGCTTTTTCTGCTCAGTGGCAAACACTGCATGGCACAATAATACTCTGCAGGGAGTATACACACACATATATAGGCCAATGTGTGATAATACTCTGCGTGGATGCAGGTCCGTGTATTTTGTCGGATATTTCTGCTAGAGTGTGATAACACTGTGCAGGGACGTACGTCTCTCTACACACAGACAGCTACCCCTCCCAGAGTACGATAGCACTCCGCAGGGACACAAAGTATTTGCACATAGAGCCAGGAAAGAAAGCATTCCCAAACTAGAATAACGCTTCGTAGGGGCACGAGTCTCTCTATATGGAGTCGGCTACTTCTTCCAGCGCACGCTAAGGCCACCCTTAAAAAATTGTTAGTTTCCTCTTTACCTACTCGCCTCTCAGGGTACCGAGTAGGTAGGTAGGAGAAAAATCTTTTTTATTTAGTTTTGACAAGATGTGTATGTATATTGTATTATTGTATATTCTATTTTGTGTATATGTTTTTGCGAAACAAAATAATTTTTGTTTTGTTTTAAAGGCGAGTAGAGGCGTTTTGGCGAGTCGGTCGGTAAAGGGGAAACAAGCAATAAAAATATAAAAAAATTATATATTTTATCTTAGGCCTAATACCCTGCGCAGCCGCACGCACACCTAACCCGTGATTTCCTTGTCTCGCTGTGCAGGCACAGCGATCGTTAGCACCTACACGAAGGCTTACCTGCGACACCAGCTCCCGAATCTTCCCGAGGAAGGAATATGGTGAGTACACTACTAGCACCTGTGAATTTCCACGCGAAACCTATACCCACTGTAGTGGCGTGCATGCAAGCCTGTAAATACATCGTCGTATCTCTTTATTGGATTTGCATTCCGGTTGAGGATTATTTTCGATGACCAGAACAGTGAACAGAATTTGTTATTTTGGCGAGAACAGTGGACAGGATTTGTCCTTTTACAACCAGAAGAGTGAACAGAATTTACTATTTTGGCCAGAACAGTGGACAGAATTTATTAGAGACATGCTTTAGGTATAACAGTGAAACATTATATTGACACATATATTAGTTTATATTGACTACTGAGGGGCACGGCCGGGTACTTACTACTCGGTGGAATAATTTAATATCATGTCCTTGCTCATCATTATGACGCGTGTGTGTGTGTGTGTGCGTGTGTGCGTGTGTGCGTGCGTGCGTGCGTGCGTGTGTATTTGTGAATTTTAATGCTACAGTGCCATCCATGATTACCTCACATCGGACAACATGCTGGAATACATCGGTAGCAATTTGGGAATGAAAGACCTCATACTATCTGAGGTAAGATCACAGCTTCCTAACTGTTTTCGAATGTCGCTCGTATGCGATACGTACTGTGAAAACAAAACGCCATTGGCTCGCTTCCGCAATTCGTTAGCGAAACGTGGTCACTATCATACTCATTTACTCACATGCTCGCTGACTCACTCACCTACTCACTCACTCACTTGCAGTCACTCACTCACCATGCACCCACCCACATAATTACCAACTCATCTACTCTTCATTACTCAGTACTTCACTCTCATCGCCGTTTTGCGGCCCGATAATTCTACGTACGTTCGGTATTTAAAGAAGAGTGTTTAAAGAGGTTAAGAAAGAAAGAAGTACGAGTGTTTCAGAGTGTTTTAAGAAGATTGTGTTCGTGCGGGTCTGACTCCGGTGTGTTCCTTCGTTGTTCATTGCAGGATTTTCCCGTGAGAACACACACCGTCGGACAGACGTTCAGGGCTGTAGTTGGAGCACTAGCGAACGACCAGGTGTGACCGCAGCATCCCACGACACTATCTAATTAATTAATAATTCACTAATGTAATAAGTTTTTTCTATGATAATTGATAATTTTTAAGCTTGTGGTAATTTAATAATGATAATTTAATCATTTTTAATTAATTAGGAATGAGTCGTAAATTAATTAATCGACTAAAAATGAAATAGTAATAATAAATAAGTAATGACAATTTTATCAAATATCTAACTTATCTATCTAAAATTTATTATCTATCTATAATGAATTATAATTAATTAAGACTCCAAAACCGATGGTTTCAGGGGGAGGAGCGGGCGCAGCTGTTCGTTCAGGACTTTGTCCTCACGCAGCTGGTCAATCAGGACGTCAGTGAGATGTGGACGCTGGTCAACCCGATGGGAGTTCTCACGATGATCCTACAGCAGAGAGGAATGGTGCTGCCCGAGCCAAGGTGCATCCTCGTGTTGCCGATGACGACAGCGGGCAGATGCGTCGTCGAAATTTCGCCGCAAAAAAATTCGTCTGCGATGCGTTAAGTTGTTTGTGTTGTGGCTGCGACTGGTTGTCGTGGAATACCTTTCTGACAGCGAATTAAGAACTAAGCCTGAAAATAACAATAGTAGTAGCAACAGCAGCATCAGTCGATATCAATGTTTAACGAACTTTAAATGAAGGACACCGATAACGATACCGGCTGGTGTGATGCCACGCGTGACGACCACGTAGTAATTAAGGACTGTCAATTAATAATTTAAATAATTAAAATAAATTAAAATAATTAAAATTCATTTAATTAATTAACTTCCTGATTGTTTCTCTAGGATACTGCGATCGACTGGTTCATCAACGGTCGTCGCCTGCTACGTCGTGGGCATCTATAGCAACAAGCAGCTGATAGGCCAAGGTAGGCACAATGCTGTTACACGCACTCACTTATAGACTCGCATTCACACTCACAGACTCGCACTCACACTCACAGACTCGCACTCACACTCACTCACAGACTCGCACTCACACTCACAGACTCGCACTCACACTCACAGACTCACACTCACACTCACTCACACACTCACACTCACACTCACAGACTCGCGCTCACACTCACAGACTCGCACTCACGCTCACAGACTCACACTCACTCTCACAGACTCACGCTCACGCTCACAGACTCGCACTCACTCTCACAAACTCGCGCTCACACTCACAGACTCGCACTCACACTCACAGACTCGCGCTCACACTCACAGACTCGCGCTCACACTCACAGACTCGCACTCACACTCACAGACTCGCACTCACACTCACACTCACAGACTCGCACTCACACTCACAGACTCGCACTCACGCTCACAGACTCACACTCACACTCACACTCACAGACTCGCACTCACGCTCACAGACTCGCACTCACACTCACAGACTCACAGACTTGCGCTCACGCTCACAGACTCCCGCTCACACTCACAGACTCGCACTCACTCTCACAGACTCGCACTGACACTCACAGACTCGCACTCACACTCACACACTCACACTCACAGACTCGCGCTCACACTCACAGACTCGCACTCACACTCACAGACTCGCACTCACACTCACAGACTCGCGGTCACTCTCACAGACTCACAGACTCCCGCTCACACTCACAGACTCACACTTACACTCACAGGCTCACACTCACGCTCACACTCACACTCACACTCACGCTCACACTCACAGACTCGCGCGTTAGGATAACGATTCCGAGGATCCATCCGATTCAGGTCATCCTCGTATTTCGTTTCGGTGTTAGCAGTCAGATTTCAAGTAGGCGTTAAGATCCACAACACTGATATTAGTTTTAACAAGTTAACGAGTGGGGAAACTCATAGATTTATTTGTTTCATTTTATAATACGCAAACACTAATGCTTGCATGTTTAGTCTCAATTGTTAATTATAAGTATTACCTTATATAAGTATAATACTACGTATAATAGTAAGTATATAAGTATAATTAGATAGAAGTATAAGCATTACATGCAGGGTATTAGCCAGGAATGAGTATTGTGGGAGTGCAGAAAAAATATTTGGGAGTGCAATTTTACAAATGTACACGGCTTTAGATCAATATTTTAGGCCGTGCTACACAGTTTTGGCCGTGCAGTTTCAAAACTGACCGTGCAAATCACGGCTGCACGGCTCCCTGGCTAATACGTTGATTACATGTATGTTCATTGTGTCACATTTTTTATTACTGCATTGTTCAGTGAGGGGCTTTAACAATATGTTTCTCACTTCGCTCTGTTTGCCTTCGTAACGCCGCGCATTGTTTCTCTCGCTCGTTCAGCGCCGGGAGAGACGGAGATCACCGCCGAAGAGATGGCGGCCCGCGACGCCCTGGCGGGGATTTTCGGAATCCGGAACGCGGCGGCGACGCTAAAGCTTGGCACTGCGGGGCGCCACCTGACGATCGACCCCGCCGCGAGAAACCCGTCGCTGGATTCGCTGTGCGGGCGCCCCCTGGGGGGAGATTCGGCAACCGTTTCCATGGCAGCGACCTGAAGGGGGCGCTGGGTGTCGTTTTGCGTCGATCGGTCACGCGGCTGTTCGGTGGGTGTCGTGGTCGTAGCGCGGCTTAAATGCAGAGAGCCGGTAAATTCGTTCTAGTGTGCAGGATTACATGCAGGGTATTAGCCAGGGATGAGTATTGTGGGAGCGCAGAAAAAATATTTGGGAGTGCAATTTTTTTGTACGTGCGTCTTTAGATCAATATTTTAGGCCGTGCTACACATTTAATTTGTGGCCGTGCAGTTTCAAAACTGACCGTGCAATTCACGGCTGCACGGCTCGCTGGCTAATACGTTGGGTGAGGTGGCTAACGCTTTACTCTGTGGCCCGTCTACGGAAACAAAATTCGTCTTGACATGAACTTTTTCTCGTAGAATGGATCTTTAAACATTGCATTTGTGAAACTCGATGTAACCAAATGATGTAACTTTTCGATGTTTCTGTCAACGAGAGTAGAGGATTGAGCATAAGGTCATATATATATATTATATATTATATAATAAGTCACAGTCTAGTTTGGAGGTCTGGTCTACGAAAAAATATCTCTGAAATTTTTGTTGACTAATTTATGATGATATGGTATCACATAATCACGTAAAAGAGAGAGACAAAACGTCGCCTACTTGCCGGTTAGTCATGCGAAGTTACGTCGGAAGTATTCGCGAATGGTGACGACTGTCTTACGTCACATTCTAAAATGAGTTTTTTTGTAACACATGTTAAACACCGATGTGGTGATTGTATCAGGAGTGTATCAAAAGGAGTAAGGCACGCTAAAACCGGCAAATTCAACATTTAGTAGCCTTAGTCTACCTATGATTTATTGTGTTTACCTCGATAAAACTTGAGCTCAAGTCTTGCCTTAATCATTAAACTTTATCCGTGTCTAATCGTTGGTCTCACAAAAATGACAAATCGGGGATATCGGTCCAAACGTACAATGTGGTTTAAGAAGTTATATCGTGAAATCAACAACCTGTGAACCGAAACATAAGGGCAATGCTTTTGAAAGCCCTCTATCGCTTAGCAATGCAACATAGCAAAGAACTAGAGAGGTTTGCTAGGATTTCGGAAAGTTAAACACGCCTTGTTGTTATTATAGGCCATGTCGAATGACAGTAATTACATGTTATGAACAATATGTGTTAAGAACATAAAATGGATAAAAATACTAAAACATGTGAAATTTTTTATTTCTAATGTAAATAGTATCAATAACACCAGTCGTGTTTAACTTTCCGAAATCCCTAGCAAACCTCGCTAGTTTTTGCTATGTTTGCATTGCTAAGCGATAGAGGGCTTTCAAAGCATTGCCCTTATGTTTCGGTTCACGGTTGTTGATTTCACGATATAACTTTCTAAACCTCATTGTACGTTGGACCGATATCTCCCGATTTGTCATTTTTGTGAGACGAACGATTAGACACGGATAAAGTTTAATGATTAAGGCAAGACTTGAGCTCAAGTTTATCGAGGTAAACACAATAAATCATAGGTAGACTAAGCGCTAAAATGTTGAATTTTGCCGGTTTTAGCGTGCCTTACTCCTTTGATACACTCCTGATGTATCACATGTAAATGTGCACGTGCGATTCTGGTTAATGTAATCAGGAGTGGATAATAGAGATCTCTGATGTAAATGTTTGTCGCAGTGAGGTAGAGATAGGTGTTCGTAGCGTAATCTCTCTCCAGTCTAAGACACGGAGGGCGATATCGATGTACATAGGAAAATAAAATCGAGAGGCGTCGCTTTTTTTAAAATACAAAACGGTCTGTGTTTATTATCCGTATATATAAACGTATCGAACCCTAACAAGAAAAAACTCAACGGAACGGCATGCGATTGCGCGCACCGCCGCCATTGTCGCAATGCGCGACCAATCGCGTGCGAGTGGCGCGGGCGTACAAGAGCAGACGACGCGGTCGTGACGACGACACGACATCCCCCGAAAAATGCGAAATTTGCGAGGATAAATACGTAAATTAAAGGCGGAAGAGGGTGCGAGCGATGCGCGCACGCACGCCCGCCAGGTGGCGCCGCGAGCGCGCGTCGCGAAAAGCGACGGCAGAGCTACCACGACAATTGGGAGATCCAATCACAGGTGAAATTGTCGCGTGTTTCATCGAGAATCGGTGTTTGTGTTGAACCCCCCCCCCCCCCCCCGAGACACACCCACCCTCCCCCTGAGACCACCCACCCTCCCCCGCCCGTCGCTAACGAGTCGTAAACTACAATACGATAAAAGTTAGTACGGAGACGTTTAAACTGCGAGGCACGAAGGCGGGTCGGCTGGCCAATCAAGACGAAACAATGTTGAACACAATTATCACACGACACGGCTAAACTAATGCCACGCATACTAAACATCGTACCGTGTATATAGTATATTATATAGATAGATACATATGTGTGTATATATATATATATATAAATAGCAATAATATTCATGATTATATCTGTACTATGTGTATATATGATATATCGGCATATATATATGTACATATATATATATATATATACATACGCGCTGCAAGTATCTGAGGTAACCACGGTATGTAAATTAAATAGAACTACGCTCTAGAAAATTACCGACACGAACAAACGCGACGCTCTCCCACAATATTTACACGTGCCGAAGCCGGACACACTATTGCACAGGTTCATGCGCCTTCCTCTCTCTCTTCCTCTCTCACTCTCTTTCTTACTCGCGTGCTCTCTCTCTCTCACTCTCGCTCTCTCTCGTCCTCTCTCGCTCACTCACTCTCTCTTTCTCTCTCTCGCTCTCTCTCCCCCTCCCGATCTGTATTTCTCTCCATCTCTCTCCCCCCTCTCTCTCTCTCTCTCCCCTCTCTTTCTCTGACTTTACCTCCACGCCAATTTCCACCCCTACTAACTACACAAGATAACTCGCTGCCTTCCACACAAACGCCGCGACACACAAGACTCCGAACTGACGCATTTCTCTCTCTTGACGACGACCTATGTCGATCGAGAACTCTACCCACGCGACCTACTTACCTCACCCGCAAACTACTCGCTACTAAATTACACTGCCACTGTACAATCCCCCCTCGCTAGGCTGAAGCTTGCAACATCGACGAAGATTGTCTTCGAAATTTACAGTAGCATGCGGTAGTCCTTGCTTATTCATGTCATAATAACGCGAAACCGACCGAGAGACCATCTAAACGAAATTGCACGGAACGAAACGCCGGTCTCTTTGCTCTGCCAAGCTGTCACTAGATGGCGTTGTGCGTCGGAAAGACTATTCTAAAACGACACGATTTACGACAACTCGAAACCTTTCTCAATTCTACGCAGGTCTTCAGTCTAACCTGTACAAAACTAACACTGTACACCTGCTAGATATCATTCAGTACTACCTGTATAAGTTAGGCTCAGCACTACAGCCTACCTGGACACAGGTAAGGATTCATTAGTAGTTTACAGGTAAGCACTCATTATTATCTATACAGGTACGCATTCATTAATACATGTACAGGTAAACACTCGTTAACACCCGTACAGGTACACTCGTTAACACTCGTACAGGTAAACACTCGTTAACACCCGTACAGGTAAACACTCATTAACACCCGTACAGGTAAATGCTTGTTAACACCCGTACAGGTAAATGCTTGTTAATACCCGTACAGGTAAACGCTCGTTAACACAAGTACAGGTAAACGCTCGTTAACACCCGTACAGGTAAACACTCGTTAACACCTGTACAGGTGAACACTCACTCCCATCTCACCAACTTTTCCAGGTGAGCGCTCATTATCACCTGTACAGGGAAGGTCTCACACCTGCTGCTGCTGCTGCTGCTGCTGCTCCTACTGCTGCTCTTCTGCTGCTGCTGCTGCTGCTGCTGCTGCTACTGTTGCTGCTGCTGCTGCTGCTGCTGCTACTGTGTTGCTGCTGCTGCTGCTGCTGCTGCTGCTGCTGCTGCTGCTGCTGCTGCTGCTGCTGCTGCTGCTGCAGCTGCTCCTCATGAACTATGAGTTTGTCGTCGGTAAGCACGAGCGCGAGTCCGCACGTCGCCGCGAAACGCTGGCACGCGCGCGTCGTCACCAGGGGGCAGTCTCGCAGGTCGACCCGCCTCAGCGCCTCAAAGCGTCTCAGGAACTCGAACGCGCGATTCGAGACGCGCGTGCACGACGCCAGCTCGAGCGTCTCGAGCGAGCGCCTCGCCGGCGTCTCGGCGAGTCGACACAGCGACTCGGCGTCGACGCGCGCGCAGTACGAGACGTCGAGGCGCCGGAGGCGAGGCATCTCCGCCGCGAGCGCCGCGACTCCGGCCGAGCCGACGTCGCAGCCCGTGAGACGCAGCGTGGCGACGCCTCGGAGGCGCGTGTGCGTCTCGGGGAACCCGGGCCGCGAGTCGGCGGGCCGCGCGACGAGCTCGAGCGCGCGCGCGTCCGTCACGCCCTCGCACCACTGCAGCTCGAGCGAGTCGAGCGGCGGACACGTGTACGAGCAGAGCGCGCTGACCGCCGCCCAGCTGCAGCCGTTCAGCGAGAGCGCGCGCAGCTGCGGCAGCCGCGCCGTCATCCACGCGAGCTGGCGACGCCCGACGTTCGTCCAGCTGAGGCCGAGCGCGGCCGGCTGCCGCCGCACGACGCCCGCCAGGTGGCGCCGGTCGAGCCAGCGGTCGCGGAGATCGACGTGCCGCCAGAGGGCGCCGTCGGCGCACCAGCGGCTCCACGCGCGGCAGACGCGCGCGCAGCGAGTGAGGTCGCCGTGGGGGAGCCACGCGAACACGCGCAGCCAGATCTCGCACGAGAGCGCCCCCTGCTGGGACGCGACGGCGACGGCAGCGGCGGCGGCGACGGGTGGCGCAGGACGCACGACAACGAACGGCCGCTTCAGTCCGATCTCGCAGTTTGCGTACTTGCCGCGGTCGAGCGTAGAGCGCGGCTTGCGAGGGCTGCGTCGGACCGGTGCCGCCGCCGCCGCGCCGCCAGGGGGCGCCTCCGAGTCCGTCGGTTCTTCCTTCGCCGGCAGGCCGATCTTCTCCACCTGGTGGCGAGAATGAACGGTGTGAGCGCAACCGCGTTAAACGAAGTAATTCGCGTAAAACTTCTTCTAATTAATTCTAACGAGGAAAGGCAAGTTGCGCTTCATTCGAGATATGCTAGACCGAGACTCCACATCCGTCCATCCGCTCGCTCGCTCGCTCGCTC